TATTATTATTATTATTATTATTATTATTATTATTATTATTATTATTATTATTATTATTATTATCAAAAACAGCAACACATCAATGGTTCGTGCTGGTACTCAACTCCCGCACAACTAATCGTCATCTTTGCCATTAATCATTGTGCTTTGTTCAGATTGGTGGAGATTGCTAGGAAAACGTGAATGTTCTGTTTTTTTTAGAGCAGAGGAGACTTACTTTTGAAACTAACAGTTTAGGCTACACTATTCTAATCTTTCTGGTCGGTTTCAAGTAGAACATTGTTAGTGGGCCAGGAGGCCTCAGTGACTTCAAAATGTTCGGTTGTCAACTGGAGCCTTTTGTGCTCATTCACTCAGTTCTCCATAACGTCTATGCGTCTGACCGAGAAATAATTTGGCTTGGACACTGTCCACTACAACAGTAACCTGAAATAAAGTAGAAAAGGAAAAATTGTATAAAAAAGATAAAAAATCATAAAAAGAAGGCCAAGTGGAAGAACCGGAAATGATGTGAGTGCCGGTAAGCTATTGACCGTGACGTCTTTTATGCTGAGTTACAGAAATTATGCGCACATAAATCACAAGTTTACTATTCAACTTCGTTGCTGCTGCGATGTCTCTTAGACATTTTTCTGAATTAAAAAGTGCATTTGCAGGCAACTGCCGTTTATGAAGTTGAATGAGCCATTTACATGAAATTGCGCATTATGTGTTAAGGTGGATCGCAAAGACGACAGGCCCTGAAGAGTAGGTGTCTATTGTTATTATGGTAGTTAGTTTGGAGAAAATACACTATGGGATTGCTGGGACCGTTTTGAATCGTTTGATCCGTCTCTGTAAGAGACAATCATTGGAGTGTGCTAACAGTGCCACTTGTCTTTAAGGGATGTATTCGATACAGATTGTCTCATTTTATTGTCTCTTGTTCCGCAGACCTTGAAGTGTCTGGTTGATGACCAATTACGCGAATATATAGTTCAACTTTACGGCTGATTGACTGTCAGAACTGAATGCAAACGCGACTTTAGTGCGCTGGCACTTTACTCATTCTACCAGCTAGGCTACGATGCAACTCGGGGATTTTGAAAATTTCACACTTGTACTCTGGTACCTAATTCGGCCTCATCGAAATCATGAAACCTGTCAAACAACTCATTAGTAGCACAATTTCTATGCTCCACAGTGGCTCTGGTAGATTTCATCGTGAACCACTCGGGAAATCCTGCCGGAACAATCGATCCTCTGGATCACTTGGTGGAGTTTATATGAGACAGAGGAATGAGTGAGCAACAGGGTCCAAATGTGACATTTCGGAGCTCTCGACCTGGCTTCGTAGCTCAGCTGGTAGAGCGCGTGCTGCGTTTTTGGTATGGTGTATTCTGTCGCTGTTTCGAATCCAGCCGAAGCCTTGACTTTTCACAATTCGGTCTCATCTAAATAACCAAATCTACTAAACTGCTCACTAGTAAATCAATTCATTCACTGCCTCAAGACGGTGGACAAGAGCCGCCGATATATTCTCTCTAGTCTTCCTTAAAGCGTCCGAATGAGTAGGCTACTTAATACTGTGTATAAACCTCCGTGAATGTGCTGGTGGTACTTCCCAATGCTTACGACCAACTGAGTACCTCCAAGATGGTCATTTTTTACTCTGAAAGTCAACAGTGCATATTCCTACTGTTATTTTGCGACTAGCCGTGTAATATAAGGTTTTATATTGGAACCCGTGCTTTTACTTTACTTGTGAACGTTAAACTGCCATGGACCTAAGTTTCAGTGAGTGTCATTCGGATCTCACTACTGAATGCTTTTGTTTTCATTGTTCGTTTCTTTGTTCTCATTCCTTGAGTACTGTAGATATTAAATTAAGACTTTCCGTGTCGTTAGTCATTCGGTACTGACGAGTCAGGTCGAATTGTTAACACCTAGCAGTGTTCGTCTTCTAACTGTAGTGTTCAACTTATTGAAGGGACATGATTAGTTCAAATTTTATTCTCACTCGGAATATCACAATTTACCGGTCAGTGACACTGAAAGTAGCTTGTAGTAGTGGATGACGTGAGAAAGGCAGAAAAGCTGCGGGGTGATGTGTAGCTTATACACCGTCGAGCTGAAGATTTCCGGTTTCCGTTCAACAAGACAGAATATAAGTCCGCGCACCTCCATCATTCTACCTGCACTCAACACCTTCTCGATGGTGAAAAACTGGGTATCACCATTCGTGAACTGGAAGTGAAAACAATTATTTCATATAACTTTGGCCTACCTCACAATTAGATACCAGCGGCTCAGAAAACAAATTCTGTGTTATAGTTACCCTATTAGGTTGGTTGAGCCTTTCAATCGAATTGTTTTGCGATTATCCTCAAATTGATGATACGCCGTCATGTTCAGTTAATTATTCGTTAGGGATAATGTCTGTATTGAGAAAATACTGTAAAGATTCACAGAGCCGGTTACGTTTACCACCTAAATCAGATAGATTGCGTATACTGGGACGGTTCTAAATGCAACTCCAGCGTACTAGAAGAGACTTAATCTTATCACCTGGGGTCTTCCGTCAACCTCAGCACCATGTAAGAAATATGTTTCTATTTATCTCAGACAGCAACCTCAGATAAAACATGGCAAAACCATTGGATTGACTGGGCCGTCAGATATCCAGAGGGCGCGCGGAGCTGGAAGGCGAGTATGGATTACCATTGCCCCAGACAACACGAGCAACTTCGGATTCTGGTTGCACAATAACACGTCAAACGAGTTGACGGGGTCAGCAACATGACTTGCTCCCATGGTGTGGGCAAGGTAGGATTTCGGTTTACTCATTATGTTGTCATTGTTTGTTGCGTTGCCGTATGCATTAACTGTTGACTCAAGTAATTTGTCTTAGAACTGTTTACAGCCTATCTTTCATGTAGAGCCCAATGACTAAACGTTTTTAATGTTGTTACTATCTGCATTTCCTATACATTCTAGTGTTTGGTGACAGTGACTGGAAACAGTAGATGAAATAGCAACCTCTGGCGATAGGTCTGTTTCAAACTGTTACCTCTATGTACATCCTACAAATCTAACGATATGTACACTGTGCTTAACCGACGGTTTATCGCCTGTTCTGTTGGTAGACTTTTGCTTTTGTTTGTAAAGTTTACAAAATACTGGTATGTTACGGCCGCTCTGGGGAGAATGGCCAACAAAACAGATCGCTTTTCCTGATTCACTTTACTTGTGATATGGGTGTCCGTCGTCCTAAGTGGATTTATGACCGTCATCTTCTTCGTATGATGGGTTTCCTAAATTGTGGACTATGTATAAACAACCTAAAGCCTCCTCCAAGGGTTTACAATTTGGGGGCATTCATTCTGCCAGTGTAGGCTATAGGAATATTGCCAGTCAAAACGTATCCTTTTCATTGAAACGTCACAGACATCCGCTACTGGTGTCGCCGAATCCTTCTTGTCCGGACAGCCGTTCTGATACTAATGTTTTGTTTACAGATAATCATATGTCTGCATGCGGAGGTGTAATATGTGGTCGCACCTCCGAATTTCTGGCAAGGACAAGTCTGTATAAGGGCCAACAACAACACAAACAATGAGTAATCGTTTAACTGAACAGTTGTGAATGTACATCACTTCGATTAAGCCAGAAATTAGGTGGAACGATAACTTATTCCCACCCAACTAATCAGCCAGTATAGTTTATGTGTGACAAAGTTTAATATATAACGATTGTAAAAGATGTAATCATCAGTAATAAATTCATGAATTCATCCAGCTTGACGTTGTTCTTTACAAACTCTTCTGTGAATGATGTCATCACATACACCATCGAGTATGTTGAATGATCACACATTACTTTCTGAATCCCAGCAGCGTCTCTGAAACAGTTATTACTGCTCTGTACGTTTGATTCTTGATCCAAGTTCAATGATGCTTCCATCAGCAAGCAGCCTTTATAGCTATGGGAAATCCTATGGGTCAGTTGCATCAGAAAGTTTTCATCAGAAAACTCGAAAACGAGCTGTTTGCTATCACAAGTGACTGGCTGCCACGCGCACAATATTTTGACCACTGTGAGTAACTAGCCACAGATACCCACTGTAATAAGCCACTTAAGTCAAGCTCTCAATTCCATTTGTCTCACGTCGGATGTTGAATGAAACCATGGTTTTCAGTTGTTTGACGTGAACTTAACCAGACCGAATGAAGGTCATTCAAAGCTGGTTGTGTACCGCTAGCTGAAGCGTAGCGGACAACACAAAAATTTTAACCGTTGTGTGCCGCTGAAACAAAATGATAACGTAACTTTTTGTCTTAGCGATCGAGCGGAAAAGGCGCTCGAACGATGCTACTGATTGCGAGCGAAAATTTCCGCCTGACCGTCTTCGTTACAACGGCTGTCTAGATGGAATATTCTCAAAACACGTGACAACAAATATTGTGATGTGACAAAGACAACAGTGGAAGAGAGGACCAGTTTTATCATTCTTTCCTATAAAGGTGATTCAGTCGCAGAGTTGTTCAGTAGCCACCTACACAATACACTATATCGAACATTTCCAGTAATCACACCCCACTAATTGTTTACCACCTGCTCACTTTTGCTTTCTTGTCTGAATGACAAATTGACTGCTCATGCTCAAAACATACTCGTGTACCCACTCACCTGCTGTTGTGCGGTGGAATGCACTGGGTGTACGACGGGGCGATTGTTAAAGACGATAAGAGAGCATCATCCGGCATGGTTAATAATCGGAGTCCGAAAGCCGGTATCAGGCGCGATTGTCACCTACCAGGCAGACACAATTCAAACAACTAATCCAACCGAATCGTTCAAGGTCGTTTACAAAGGTCCGATCGGCCAACCGAGGTCAGTCTGTCAACGTAGTCTGGCAACGGCTGAAGCGGTTGCAACTCAACTGTTTGATCTAAAATTGTGCGCACACAAAATTTAGTCCAAAAACTTAGTCTCCATGGCCAGCGATCAATTTTCCTTGGCATCCTACAAACCAAACACAGTTGGCAAAGTTGGTTGTGGGGCGCCCGATTAAGAACTAGAGCCTGCGCTACTATGCTTCACAGAGAAATGGCACGTGGTATTACTTACTGTAGAAATGTATGGGTTTACAAAATTGGAATAAAATAGTAGTCGATCTTACTGAATCCCAGATTATTAACTAATGCGTTATGTACCTGTTAAATCGCTCCTGGCGATTTAGGGTAATTCACTCAGTAACGCGTATTCGACAATTCCAATAACGCTTATTCAGACGGTCGGGTTGACGGGACTATCTTCCAAGTCCAAAAAACGTCAGAAAAGGCGGTCGAAAGTATTGGAATTTATACGGTACTGTTTAATAAAATTACAACAAAGGTACTATCTCACCTTGAATGTGAATCAACCGGGTACACAAAATATCCAGCAAAGGAGTACAAAATGGAGCAGCTAAGCACGTGTTCACAAACGGCCACCAGTCAACGGGAAATGACCTCATTAAAACAATCGGGTGCAGATGAAGATGAAAAGCGTATCAAACAACACCAAGAAGGAAGTTTTTACAGACAATGACAGTTATAAAATGTAAGAAAGTAAACCTTTTATGTGCAGTTATGGTACAAAATGTCATGATTGTTTACTGCACACAATAAAGACAACTAAAGGCAAATTAAGGATCGGCCCTTTACAAACAAACCACATACCTCAACGGATTCATCGTTCCGCATCATACCAGACAAAAGACGACAAACGTACCAGACGAACTTCAACAGATCCAACACCCTCACTTCACGTCGGGTGGTTGAGTGCT